TGCTATATATCATACAACCTTGAACAGGATGAGCAGGTTGAACAGATACCAATGGATGCCAAGAATGTTTCTGATAAACTCCTTAGGCTAAAAGACAAATGTGCTTTTGTTTTCACTTCGATTCAGACCCGACCGGCCGCCTGTCAACAGGTAAATCATTTGTTTAAACTACGTTCCTTTTTGAGATCGTACATTAGCACTGCTGTTAAAGAGATAATCTAGTTTAGAAAGTGTTGTTTACATGGACTGATAATATTACTCTTTCAGCTTATTAAGTTTTTTTTAAATGGTTTATTTTTGCCAGAGCACCTAGAGTAATAAAGGAACATTTAAAGGTTTACAGCTTTTGAAGTATGTTATAAAACTATAGTAATTCTGTTATTTGTACATTTAAAGCTCCCTTTGCTATGCTCAATTAATGATGGAGAATAAAAACCAAAGTCAAAACATATGTTCCAAAGATTATCTAAAGCTAAAATAGACTTTTCCTTAAAGTTATAATCTTTTAATTACCAAATTCACTCTAAATGTAAGTTAGTAACAAAAATGCTTCAACTTTAATGTGTGAACAAAACAAATGTTTTCGACAGGTGTTTTCAATTTGTTGTGCCAACATGTTTAAGCTGGACAGGTAAACGTTTCTATCTGTTAACATAAAGTAAAATTATATTAAGGTAATTAGTTGTTGCTGTTTTATTACAAAGATGTATGTACGATTTAATTATGAGTAGCCTTTGAAACTCCGCCTACTCTCTTAAAAGTACATTTCCGAGAACTCTGAGTAAAGGAATTTGGGGAATTTACAGGGATTAGATCACAGGAAGGTACAAAAGGAAACTGATGATTTTCTGACTTTATTCTGACATTAATCTCAGAATATTTACTGTCTTCTCAGAATTTGGACTTCAGTCACAGAACAAAAAAAAAAAAACTAATTCAGAATTGGCCCTAATCCTCTTCCGTAGATTTTCATATTTTCAAAAACAGATATAAGAAATGGAATAGAAACAGCTCCATATCACCGGATATTTTTAGTTTGCTAATTCACGGCTTGGTTAGTTCATTCTGGTTATGTTAACTTTACTGTGTCCCAATTTAAGCTGCCTCTTTGTCTCTACAGCTAAACATGGCTGCACTAGATCCATACCTGGGCGTATTGGATTTCTCCTTGAACCTTTGTTCATCAATCTACACGAGGGCTGCGAATGTCAGCGCCAACAAGGAGCGCTGCCAACAAATCGCCCAGAGAGTGAAGGCACTTGAGGGTCTCATTCTCACCATCAAACATAGAGGAACGGGACAACTATCCCCGGCTATGGACGACACTTTGAAGGAAATCTGCTGCACCCTCACATCTGCAAAGACGCTGATGGAGAAACTCAACCGAACTAAAATGTTTATGAGATTCCTGAAGTCCAGGAGACATGAAGAACAATTGTCAAATTTGGACAGAAGGCTTTATAATCACTTCCTAGTTCTGTCGGAGGCTCTACTCATTGAGCAGGGCGACACGCTGCACAGAATTTGTAACGTGAATATCGGAGATACCCAACCAATGCCCCCAATAATAACGCTAGGCGCCACACCCCGTCAGGGCCGCCCCTCCCTACACGCAGATCACGCAGACTGCGTGGGGCCTCACCTCGCGGAGGGGGCCTTACTTCGCAGAGAGTCCCTCAACCATCGCCGCGCCTTGCGACGCTACGAGGCTGCACGAGCACCAGATCCCCGTGCACCCTGTAGTTGCAGCATTACGTACCACAGTTCCGAAGGGTTTCTCACTCCTACTGGCCCCAGACTTTCCATGAGAACAAACTCCAAAAATATTTTGTGGGATATGTGGGCTGATCAGGAGGAAGACTCGCCACCGTTGTAAATATACATTTGTTCCTCAAATGGCCACTTGATGTTGGCTCCAAAAGTGAGTCAATCTCCGTAGAGCTCCACGTTAAAATGCCCATCTTCACAGCAGAAAAAAACAACTTGGTTAAAAACGTGTTTTTGGCCTCTATTGTTAATTCCCCCATTCATAATAACTGTATGGGGGTGAACTTTCATATAATTCAATTGTTTACATTATATTAAGACTTAAAGTTATGCATCTTTTAAAGGATATGGTGGATTTGAGTGACAGGTGGATGTACTTCTTTGCTCGAAGTACTCAGATATTGTACTTGAGTAAAAGTAGAAGTACTCAGATCTTGTAGTAAAAGTATAAGTACTCAGATCTTGTACTTGAGTAAAAGTAGAAGTACTCAGATCTTGTAGTAAAAGTATAAGTACTCAGATCTTGTACTTGAGTAAAAGTAGAAGTAACTCATCTTGTACTTGTGTTAAAAAGCAGATCCTGGTTAACACTCACCTGTTGTCCTCCTGCTCCGTCCAGCTGTAAAATGGCGTCTGGCAGTTGGACTTCATATTTGGACTTTAACACCCTCACCTGTCTGCAGCTCCTCCTCTTGATCCATAACCAGCCTTACCTGCTGAACCAGTTCACATA